GGGCCTCAACATGTAGCTTCAACAGTGTTGTTGTTGCTTCCAAGTCTTCGTAAGATTGTTTCATAACAGGTAGTTGTTCTTCGAGTGCGGCGCAACGTAGTGTTTCGGCAGTTAACTTGTCTTTTGTAGTTTGGTCTGTGGGTAGGGCCGACGCCCCATGACTCAGTGCTACGGCTGGTGCGTATTTGGCTAAGACGTATTCAAGATGTTTGTTCTTCTCTCTAGTATATGGGATTCGGTCTCGTACTGAAGTGCAAGCTTGGAAAGACGACGATTTTCTGAGGACTTCTCTCGTAATTTCTTCATGAATTTTTCTGGGACATCGATACTTCGAGTATTGTGGCGTGTTTCAGAACTGTTGCACCTGTCATCTGTTTTGCCTTTCTTGTGTTCTTTATTTTTAACCTTTCTTTTCCTTTTACTGCTTTTCTCCACAGCAGATGATTCTTCTTGAAGAACGCAATTTCTTCTTCTGTTTGAATAAGTGCCGTTTTGTTCACTTCATCGTTGCGGATATCTCTGATGGCTTTGTGCTCCAGTGCTGTCCCCAGTGTTTTCAGATTCCATTTCTGGAACCTTGGGAAAGCATCAGCAACGATTGGTTCAATGATATTTATCCTCTAGCACATCCAAAATTGAGGAAGCAAACTAGTGTTAGCAATCGACTACATGTTAGATATTAATATACTATTAAGACTATGTAAATATAATATTAAGATTATATAAATATACTACATGGAGAAAGTGGTACACTATGTTTCAAATTAATATACTAGCATGCATATTTAGAACTGCAGGGCAATTATGTGCACTAACAAAATATTATTATGCAGAGTTGAGTATGAGTTAATGTATATACAATTATGCTGACATACCAACAATAGCGTTGTGCACCCACAGACTAATGATGGTTCTGTTGTCTGCACATATTTCATCAGGAATTCGACAATGTACCCTGCCCAATTGTAAATCAGAGAGTTTGTAGAGTTCATCACACAGCAGTACCATCCACCAGCTGATTTGGTCTCCAGAAGTTGCAAAAAAACAGGATGCAAGTACATGAAGTATGATGATACGAACCACATCCTCAACATTCTCGTCATCCCTACTTTCTATGTATTCCATCATCTTAGGCTTTAACATCCCTAATCATATTTTTTCTTCGTCTCTAAGTTTACGATTGGTTAGACCAAATTCTGGTTTTGTGCTTCTGCGAATATTTATGCTTCTTGCACCTGATTTGATTCCGAATATTAGATTGCAATCTTCCTCTCTGATATGTAATTATTTTCCTCCAATCTTGAACACCTTGTCTGTTTTGTTGTATGTTTTCAATATCAGGACTGTGCCGATTTGTATCCCTGTGACTTGCGAGATGGATATTTCATACTTAGCAAACGGTAAAATTAGCCGGTAGAATGGCGTCCTTTTCAGGCATTTGTAATGCGCTTTTCGCAGACTGACATTTGCAAAGAAGTCTATTGTTGAATGTAGGTTGGATCAGAATTGTCGGGTCCAGCTGCCTTGATCTAGTTCTTTTTGTGCCATTATGTTCGATTCGGCTGTAAATCATGTAAAAGTGTGTATGTATTAGCCTCACAAACATGCAACAAATATCGATATAGATATTTTCATAGTTCATTATGATAATGTACATACAGATTATTAGACTATGTAAATGAACAAACAGACTATAGTACATATTTAAATCCACATGTGAATATTGTTAAAGTTACATATGTAAATACAAGTCTGATATTACAGTAACGAAACATAATATATTTATACAAATGCACAGCATAAACATAAACTAATAGCTCATATCAGTAGACTGTATAAATACACTAGCATGCATATTTAGAACTGCAGCACAGTTATGTACACTAACAAATTCAGCTAAACTAATGGTATATTACTACAAATATATATACACAGAAACTATTACTTTATAACAACACAATTTATATTAGCATACTATCTCAATGTGTAACACGCTTTCACAATGTATATCACGCCGTCAGATTTTTTATAATATACTATCTCATTATAATAACGAACTATCACAATATGTAATATGATATCACAATGCATAACAAGTTATCAGATTATTATAATATACTATCAGATTATAATAACCAACTATCACAATACCTAATATGTTATCACAATGGAGTTAATTGCACAGACCCCCCTGTGAAATATCTAATTACCAAAAAAGTCCCTATGTTAAAACAATTAGCATTGACCCCCCTATGATGTGTTTTATTTAGCCCACTGCTCCCTATCCAAAATAACAGCGTTGACTTACATCAAATGACTAAATTACCCTTCATTGGAAATACAAAAAATACTTAAAAAAACACGTCATCATCTTCTTCATCTCTCACCACAACCTCCGCCGTTGCCGCTGCAGATCGGAGAAGCCCACCAGCTCATTTCACTTCAAGAACATAGTCCTCAGCCCCGATGAAATCCCCAAGTTGCAAACCACAACACCAACCGATATATACATTGCTTTCTTGAAAAACCGAGAGTCTCCGCCATTAATTTGATCTCTTCAATCACCACCGATATATGCCCCATGCCAACCATTAATCTTAAAAACATTCAATTATTTACCCTCTATTTTCATTTCATCAAATCTAAGAGAAAAAAAAAAGAAAGAGGAACGACAGTTGAAGAAACATGTACTCTTGAATCTCTGTTATCGGAATCTTTGTTAAATGTGTGGACGCTCCATTTGCCTTTGTTGGAGGAGGAACTGATGGAGTTCTTGTGGCTGCACTTACGAGGGAGGGTCAGGGCGCGATCGAGGATTTGGTGAGATCGGCGGAGGCATGGCAGAGTGTGGACGGTCGTAGACAGCGGCGTAGTGTGGCGAGGCGGGGCGGCGGAGCAGAGGTGGGGGAGCTTAGGTCTGATGGAGAAGAGGGCTTATCCGAAAATGCCATGGACTAAATTGGAAATTTTAAAAACTTCCTTTTGGTGCTCTTAAAAATTTCTGGGTGATTTTGTAATTCTTGAAATTTATGAGAAAAGGGTATTTATGTAGTTTTAGGTCAAAAAACGCACCCCCAGTTGCACAGTTCGCGCGTGCAGCGCACGATTCGTTGTCAGGGGGCTTAACGCCTTTGACTAACTTTCATAGGGGGGGTTTTGCTAATTTTTTTAATACGAGGACTTTTTCGACAATTAGAGATTACACAGGGGAGGTTCTTGCAAAAAACCCTATCACAATGTATAATATGAATAAACCCATGAGATTAATTATACTACAGTCAAACATGACGCTGTACAAAACCCTAAATCGATTATCGAAATCTTAATCGATTCTATAACTTTCTGATCTATAGAATTAGGGGAAATCACATATTACCCGCGTTTAGTAGCATTATGTTGTCTGCCATTTTTGATACCTCGTCGCCTGCAACATATTGCAGCATGTTTTAGATAAGCAAATAGATGCTGAGTATCCAAAAAAATAGACAAAATGACTACCACGTTGCAGTTAAACAAAAAAATTGACATGAGTTACCACTTCTGGTGGATGTTTTGCCCATCGATCGTTGCAACACCACAGAATTAGGGCTCGATTTCGGTAGGCGTTTTAGAAAAGATCTGCAATTAAACCAATGTCACAGTCGATTAAGCAAAAGCACATCAACATATCGATGGGTGATGGCGTTTCAACAAGCGGCGCAGACGTACCAATGCCAGAGTGTTCGGAGTGCAGAAAGGCGTCGATCTCCCGTATAGCGTGCTCTCTTCGTTGTGGTGATTTTTCCAGCGTATAATTTTTCTGATTTTTTTGGAATTTTGCAGAATGTGGTAGTGGGTTGAGTGGGGATAGTGGTTTTAACGGGAAAATAGGGAGGGATTTGATATCATTACAAAAGGTAAAGTAACGGGATTTTTGGGATTTTGATTGATGGTACTGATGGATTTTAAAAAAATATGGCTTTTTATCTAAATGACAAATTTGAGTTTGGATCTACCCCTATTATTTCTAAGACTAAGGGGATTATATCTAATAGACCCAAGAAACAAAATGCAAAAATATAAATTGAATATAACTCGAAAAAAAAAAAAGAAAAAAAGAAAAAAATAATTGCTAAACTTCTTCTCGTCGCACCTCCCCCACCCACTTCCACCGCCAAACAACTCTTCATCCACCTTATGTTTCGCCACCAGCAGCCACCCAATGCCACCACACCGCAATTGCTACACCAGCACGAAGAACCCATCCTAGTTCCAGATTATCCGCCGCACATAACCAACTCATTAAATTCAAACAATCCGTCGTCCAACATAGCACATAGGATTTTAGGTGGCCGAAGAAATTGTAGGCATTTGTGTGACTGACGTCGTCGTCTTCATCGCCACAGAAGTGGTCGATTTTGGTGACGCAGAAGGTGGGAGCGGCATCAATCGAGCTGCAAAAATTAGTAATGGTAATATGAAAATTGAGCAATAATGGGGTGAGGTGGGTCTTTTGCCCTGGAGATGATTGTGATTTTTTATGATGATGAGAGAGCGGTGGTGGTGGTGGTGGTGGGAAGAAGGAGGCGGATTAGGGTTTTTAAGGCAATTCTAAAAAAATACAGTTTATTCCTTACAACTTAGATCGAGAAATTTAAAATCAAGTGAAAATTTTAAAAGAAAAACATAGAGACATTTGAAATCCGGTGAAAAATACATCAGAATTCGAATTTTGGGGCAAAGTGCAACTGGGGCACAATTTGGAAGGGGAAAGTCTCTTTTTCGATTTCTTATGGGGGAAAGTGCGAATTATGAGTTATTTTAGGGGGCAAAGTGAATTTTGCCCCTATATAATACATACACACAAACTCAATTTCTTCGGTAATGAGCCCAAAAATATAAAGTTAAGGCCCAAAGAAAGAACAAGTATGTTGTGGAAGATGTTCGAAATTTCAGGAATTTGCAAGAATCATCTGATCACCCATATAAATACGCGTGCTCCTTCAACAAAATCTCATCGAAAATTAGAAACTGAGTTATCTGCAAACTATCAAATACTTCATCAACAACCAAATCAAGAAGTTCATCATCCATCCAGTATTATTTATTGCAGAGATGTCTCTGATTCCAAGCTTCTTTGGCAACGGCCGCCGTAGCAACGTTTTCGATCCATTTTCATTGGATGTTTGGGACCCATTTGAGGGCTTCCCATTCTCCTCCGCCAGAGAAACAACCGCGGCGGCAAACGCTCGGATCGACTGGAAAGAGACGCCGGAGGCCCACTTGTTTAAAGTGGATGTACCTGGATTGAAGAAAGAGGAAGTGAAGGTTGAGGTTGAGGATGGCAGTATTCTTCAGATCAGTGGAGAGAGAAGCAAGGAGAAAGAGGAGAAGAATGACAAGTGGCATCGTGTCGAGAGGAGCTCCGGCAAATTCATCCGCCGATTCAGGCTGCCGGAGAATGCAAAATTGGAGGAGGTGAAGGTGGCTATGGAGAACGGGGTGCTTACTGTGACTGTGCCCAAAGAGGAGGTGAAGAAACCTGAGGCCAAAGCCATTGACATATCTGGTTAAGTTTGAATTTTGGTTTGTTGGTTGTAATGAATAATCAATGGCAATGGCGTATATTTGGAAGTGTATTTCTTTTTGATTTTGTGGCAAGTGAAATATCACTATGTAGTATGTACAATAGAAATTCCGGAATAAAGCCTAACTGATAAATAATACATGTTGCTTACATTAATTCATTTAATCATTTTCATATGCTAAACTCTTATACAACAATTTGGGGTTTATACGACCCTTTGTTTACCCAACAGTTTTAGAACCGTCGTAGTTATGACGGTCACTTGCAACTTGAGAATTTTATTAAAGTTTGTCTATATTTTGTAGAAATTCAGATAAACCAGCATATGTTTGAAATTGAAATATATATTTTGTCATCTTAGGACGTAAATACTTACTCTCTCCTTCCCTCAAAGATTGTCACTTTTGTTAGTTGCACACATATTAAGAAACTCAATAAATATGCATTGATAATAACAAAAAGTATAGTAAATCACTAAAACGTCTATGCCATGAATTAATTTTCAAATAATCGTATTTCAATTAATTATGAGTGAGAAATGGCAAAATTGAAAAAATTGCAATTAATTATTCGTTCGAATAGTAAAATGACAAATAATTTGAAATATGAAAAAAGGCAAAAGTGACAAATATCAAGGGAAGGAGGGAGTATTTAGTATTGGCCAGTTCGTTTTCGTTGTCTTCGATTTCTTATATTCAACAATTGATGGCAACAGCATTTAGGGAAAAATTGGATTATTGGCAGAAAAAGAAGAGTTCTATAAAATGTACAAGTATTCCCGACGGTTATTTAAGCGCCGGAAAAAATATTCCCGACGGTTATTTTTACACATGAAACTTTATACAACGCCTTTTTTTCTCGACGGTCTCCTGACGGTCTAAATCTGTCGGGAAAACTACTCCCGACGGTTTCCCAGTCTTTCCCAACGGTTTTCTTGCGTCGCTTAAAGCCATATATGTTGTAGTGGCATTTTCTTTAGATCTAAAACAATGGAAACTTATTATGGCTATTTTATGGGCAAATTACCGCTATTTCTTTCAGGTTAAATTAAATTATGAAAAAATTGACTCTTGTTTGGATAATTACAACTATCTTTTAATTACGTATTGTGTTACGAAAAACTCCCTCCTGCAATAGGTAGATTCGATAACGTAAGGCTGAACGTGTAAAACAATACATAGTTTAGAGGAGTGATTGTAATTACCCAAACATAAAGAATTTTTTCTTAATTTGGTCTTACGGGGTTGACCATTAACAAAAGATGAAATGAGATTAACTAAACCATCAAGTGCCACACATGAAGAACAACTCGAGTTAACACAAACATCAATCTTCTCCTTAAGACACAACTCTCTCCATCCAACATTTCTCCAATTTAATCCCTATTTTCCGAAAACCATCCACATACCTCGAATTTCACATTTGATCGCCGAAAAAAGGCGAACAAATCATCGATACTCCTTCGCAAATACTCTCCAGTGTCGAGTTCCACCCACTGTGCATCCAAAATGCCCTTTTGGAACTTCAGTTGTTCTCTTTCGTTGGATAACGATCGTCTCAAAATTTGGCGGATTGCCATCTTCTTGTGAATTGAATCTTGCTTTAATTTGCTCAAGTAAAAATGAAGAGGTATTTGAAATAAGTGAAAGCTGAGTATTTTGGTTGATGTATGTTTGTAATCAAGAAATTGTGTTTTATATATAGGCTGTATTCTTCAGATAGTACCTAAGTATGGTCATCATAAATGTGGTTAATCTATCAAACTCGAAATAACATACGCATATGAGTTTGCTGAAAAAAAAATATAATAAATTCAATTAGCCAACAGAATTTCTGTGATCGAAAATGATGTGTCCTACCAACTATGCCAACAAAACCCTCAAACCAATCTAGAAAAGATTTATCTTGTAACTAATGTGACTGTTACAAGCCCCACACATCTCATTATCTCTTTTTAGTATCTTAAATCCAGAATTATGTTTGCTGTATAACTTTGGGTTCTTGTATATATCTAATTACACTAGCTGATTGATTGCCACACACATACATGTGATCTTCGACCATTTGCTAGCGTGGTTGGCCCCTATTTTTATTTATTAATCACAACAAATTCAATAAGTGAAGGTCGCGGCCCCGCACATCTCATCATCTCTATTTATTTCGTTATACGTAATAATAATTAGGAAATATTATCCTAAATGCAATTGAACTTATGCCGCATTTAATTCAGCTGAGTCTTTTCTTGCTGGTGGTGTTATGAATAATGTCCTTAGCCCCACAAATGACAAATCATTCATTACATGTTGCTCGAAAATATATGTTGTGAAGATTTTAGAGACAAAATCATGTGCTTTTGTTTCTCACAAACCACATACGCTTTGGCTTCTTCGTAAGGATTATCGCATTAATTTACATGTTCATCTATATATACACGTTCGCACGACACATTTCTAAACTCACACCCCAACTTTCAATACTCAACTTCTCATATTTCACTTTCTTCTCAAAACTCTCATATATTCCTCGGTTTTCATCTTCGGAAATTTGTTGTAACAAATATCGATGGCTATTCACAAAATTCTTAGACGTTCTTTATCGGCTGAAAAAAGATCAAACGAAGTTCCAAAGGGGCATTTGGTTGTTTACGTCGGAGAAAGTGAAAAGAAGCGATTTGTAATTCCATTATCGTATTTGAACCATCCTTCGTTTCAAGAATTACTAAGCCAAGCTGAAGAAGAATTTGGATTTCGTCATCCAATGGGCGGCCTTACTATTCCTTGTAGTGAGGAGTCATTCATTGGCCTCACCTCTCACTTGAGAAAAGCATAATATATAAATTAGGTCTTAGAGCAATATTGTTTTTGTTAGCTAGTCTCTTTACATATTTTTTATATGGTGTACACACACACTATACTTTGTCGGATACAAAATGTATTCCCGAACAAATTAATGGTAATTACAAGTTCTTATCATAAGCTCTTATTTGCACGAATTGTTTCTCAAAAACTGTATCTCTAACTTTTTCTTTGACTTGAAAAATTATTAAGTTGAAATATTTATTACCGGAAATGTGCAAAATTATTTCTCCAAGAGACCAAGTTTTAGTGAGTTGATTCAAAGGAAGAAGATAAGGGCATTTTTGACATTTCATGAAATTATGGTCTTCATGTTCATCCTAAATAGTGCCAGAAGCAAATGCTAACCTTAACAGAATTATAGCGGATTTAATTAAACACGGTGAATATAACTCAAGGCGCGCGAGGTGAACGTGATTATTGCCATCGAGATAGTTATCCGATCAAACAAAGACCATCAGTTCATAGAAACAATTTGTAAATGTGAGATGTTACTGAAGAACTTGATTTTTTTTTTTTAATATATACACAAACACGTATGAGATATGAATCTATCGTGGATGATCAAATTCCTATCAAAAGAAAAACTAGCATTTTTTTCCTGGGCGATGGACGAGATAACATTTCAAAAATGAAAATACAGATTAGCTTAATACATGACGATAGCAATTATACAAAATTTATTAATGATATCGGTAACAACATCAACATTTATATAAATTTAATAATACTAACTGATTATTAAATTATATATATAAACTTAATTATCATAATATGAAATTGATTATTAACTAAATGAAGCAAAGAAGAATCAGAAAAAATAGGCTGGAAAATGAACTAAAGTTGCCGAGGTGTTTCTTTCTTTTATATATAAAGAGAAACTATATCAAAATTCTATAAATATTTCCTAGGAATGTTTTTATTCAGTTTATTTTAATTAAGTTGCTTCTTATATATAATATAACTAAATTGTTACGTTTTAATATAACTAAGTTGTGCAAATCACCGCGTCGCCGTTAATGTTAGTTTTTTTAAACAATTATGTTAAAGATACTCCAGATCTAGCGTTGGATCTAGATCGCGAAAAAACACAAGGACTTTCAACAAAAAGGCAAAATCCGTCTGTCCTTATAACTATAGAGGATATTTTTGAGGAAATTCCAGCCAATTTTCCCATGTTTCTGTGTAATGGTTTGTTGCCAACAATTTACTTTTTTTTTAATTGAAAATTTTACAAACACCAAACATAACTAAAGCATTACAATTAGGGGTGGGTTTGGTAGGACAATCATACCATATACGTCGAATCACTACCATTACCGAAATTTCGATATTATGAAACTCATTATCATAGTCTTACCAAAAATTTCGGCATACCGAAATTTGGTATACAAAAAGTTCGGTACGGTAGGGTATGGTAATGATAATTACCAATTTATGTTATCTACTATTTAAGTCTAAATTGTATATCATTTTTCCAAAGCAATTCAAGGTATATATACATGTTTAAAATGTACAAAACTACTATCTAAGATATAAGTATTCTAAATATATATTCTTAATTTACATAATATAAAATATTTCTTAAATGAAAATTTTGACATTAATTATATCATCATAAAAACTTTTAACATCAAGTATATCATCATCAATATAATGAAGCAATTCAAAATATTTTTGACATACCTAAAGAGTATAATTAATTTTAATTAATAGTAGTTAGTTAGCATACTATGTCCACTTTTTATGTCTAATAAATCAATTATTAAAATAAAATTTTATTTATTATTATTTATTAATAATATTTTTAGGATAATACCATTTTAATAATATTCAGCGTTGTTGCCCTATCATAACATTTTTGTACGGTACAGTAATAATTCGGTACAAATATTTTGGTAGATAATCGGTAGGGTTCGGTAGGGCGACGAGTTGGTAGGGCACTTTTGGTAGAAAAATCCACCCCTAATTACAATATATATAATAGGGTAAGTTACATGCACACCCCTGAGGTATGCTTAAATAACTTTAAGGTCCCTGTGGTATCGATAATTACACTCACCCCCTTGAAACGTAGTTATAAACTCTAATGGGATAATTGCATTTGATACGTTATTACGATAGAGTTCTAACGGACTATTGGTTTCAGGAAGTGGTGGAGACAACAAAGAGTAAAGCGTGATTTAAGAAATATTGGGGGAGCCATGTCACCCCATAACTCCCCATAACTCTATGTTATATCCACAACAAGCTAAAAGTAATAGTTCATTAGAACCCTATCGGAATAATGAATCCAATGCATTATTCCGTTAGAGTTTCTAACTACGTTTCAAGGGGTGAGTGTAATTATCGATACCATATGGACTTTAAAATTATTTAAGCATACCTCAGGGGTATGGGTGTAATTTACCCTATATAATACTACAAATAAAATACATGAAATGGAAAAAACCCCGAAAGGTGATGGAGATGGATCTTAGTTAGATTGGGCTATAAAAGTTTCTTCAGAAATGAGCCCAAAGAATAAAGTCAGGCCCAAAGAAAGAACAGTTAAGTATTTTCTAGAACATGTTCGAAATTCTAATTGTACCGAAATCCGTTTGGCTCTCGAAATTTCAGGAATTTGCAAGAATCGTCTGATCACCAATATAAATATGCGTTCTCCTTCAACCAATTCCCATCGAAAATTGGAAACTATCAAATTCTTCATCAACAAGTTCATCATCATCCAGTATTATTTTTTGCAGAGATGTCTTTGATTCCAAGCTTCTTTGGCAATGGCCGCCGGAGCAACGTCTTCGATCCGTTTTCGTTGGATATTTGGGATCCATTTCAGGGCTTCCCATTCTCCTCCGCCGGAGAAACAACTGCGGTGGCCAACGCTCGGATCGACTGGAAAGAGACGCCGGAGGCCCACTTGTTTAAAGTGGATGTACCTGGATTGAAGAAAGAGGAAGTGAAGGTTGAGGTTGAAGATGGCAGTATTCTTCAGATAAGCGGAGAGAGAAGCAAGGAGAAAGACGAGAAGAACGACAAGTGGCACCGCGTCGAGAGGAGCTCCGGCAAGTTCATCCGCCGATTGAGGCTGCCGGAGAATGCTAAATTGGAGGGGGTGAAGGCGGCGATGGAGAATGGGGTGCTGACTGTGACTGTGCCCAAGGAGGAGGTGAAGAAGCCTGAGGTCAAGTCCATCGACATCTCTGGTTAATGTTTGAATTTTGTCCAACAAGTTTTGATTTGTCTGGTAGTTGTAATGAATAATAATGAATAATTGTTTGGGAGTGTGAATTTTTGGTTTTGTGCTTATTGAAATATGACTATGTATTATAGAAATTCCGGAATAAAGCCGAACTGGTAAATAAGAAATTACATGTTGCTTTTCACATTAATTCATTTCTATATGTTAAACTCTTGTATCAGTACTTTTCTAGATCTAAAACTTTGGGAACTTATTATGACATGGGTAAATAACGGTAAGATTAAATTACGAAATAATCTATCTTTTTTGGAGAACTACAAACATCTTCTTTCACTATATATTGTTTTATGAAAAATTTCCTTCTTCAATAGTTAAACTTGTAAGACAATACATAGTTGATGGGTGATTATAAATAACTCTCCCCTTGTAATTTGATTTTCCCTCAGGAGTCACGGTCTGCCCCGTTTCATTAGTGAATAAACCCTAATTGTCCCTTGTAATAACCAATCGAACAGAAGATTTAACAAAAGATGAAATGAGATTAACCCGTCAAGTGCCACACACTAAGAACCACCCAAGTTTACACAAACATCAATCTTCTCATTAAGACAAACTCTCTCCCTCATTTCTTCTCATCTTCTCTTCCGACAATCACTCTCATAATATCCTTTTCAATCTCACCTCTCTCTATCCAACATTTCTTCATTTTGATCCTTATTTTCCAAACACCATCCACATTAAGGGTGAGCAAGTCGGATCCATCACCCCATTACACCCTATTACACCCGTCGAACCCGATAAAAATCGTCGCGGACGGATAGATCCATCAATAGGAATGAGTCCTCAAATGGAGAAGATCTGCGGGTTTGGGTCTAAAATGGTTAAAATTTCTTTAATACCCGTGAAACCCATCCCGCCCAGCCATACAAAACGACGTAATTGTTTAGATTTGTGAAACCCCCTGAAACATTTAATTATATTAGGATGGATATACCCCCTGAAACTCGCTTCTCTCCCCTGCTACGATCCCCATTTCTGCCCAGCCGCCTCTCAATTGGCACCGCTCCCCACCTCCTTCTCGACGTCCCCATCTCCCTAGATGAGGACTGGCGGCTCAACAACAGAGATCACACAGAACTGCCCGACAACATTTCGAGGAGGGAGGCATGGAACACCGTTTTAGGCTTCCGCGGCGGCAATCTGATGTGGCGGATTGGTAATTGGCGGATGACACCAGAAGTTTTTCGTCCTTGCTCCACCTGAAAGTGATTGGCAGGTCGAAGTTGTGGAGCGGTTGAGACGGAGGCGCAGGAACCCTGGAATCCATAGAACAATAACAAAAGCTCTTCGAAACGGCATCGTTTGATTTCACAGAAACCCATACTGAGAGATTTTAATACAAATAAAATAAAACACATAGACAAAAGAAAACCCTCGCTCATGGTTGATTATAGTATTCGATGGATCTGTGAAGGAAATGTCGAAAATGGAATTGTAGTTGATTACAGTTTTCTCTGGAATTGAGGTTTTTTATTTTGTGGTTGATTCAGATAAATTATAGTTGTTTTCAACTATAAAATTATTGAAATCAACTATTATAATAAATATAGTTTATTTCAATAATTTTATAGTTGATTTCGACAATTCTGTAGTTGATTTTGATTTTTTTATGATCGAGATCATTAATTTGTAGTTGTTTTTATTTGGTAATAAACCTACTACTGAAAAACACTAATTTTTGTAGCTAATTTTGGTAGTTGTTATGCAAGTTGCTTTGGGAAATAATGAAACAAAAGAATAGTTGTTTTCAGTAATTTTATAGTTGATTATGAAGAAAATTAAGCTAAAAAAATTGTAGTTGATTTCAAAAAAATTATAGTTGTTTTCGGAAATTTTGAGTCGATTTGAAAAACCAAAAACTGAAGAAAAAAAATAAAAAATAAATAAAAAATAAAAAAATGGAAAATAATATATTTAAAAAAACAGTTTTAAAAAAAATAATTATTTTCTAAAATAAATAAATGAATATTATAATTAAAATAAAAAAAAGAAATAGATATTAGGGAGTATTAGCAAGACCCCCTCATATAGGAAATGTAGTTAAGGAAAACCCCCTCTAAAAAATAATTAGAGAAAACCCCCTTAGTTAGTATTCCACCAAATGTTATTTTTATAATTTCAAATCTACCCTTAATTGTCAATGTGTTATTTTGAAACCCTAATTTCTCTCTCATTTTTTCACCATCCCTGCCCCTCACCACCACCACTACTTCTCCCCCGCCGTCCACTACTACCACCGCCAGATTGATGAAAGGTGCCTCCGTTGACCAACGCCACCTGCCCAAGGATTCCGACTCCGTCAAGACCTCTCTGAGATCGCCGCCATCGTCACCTTCGTTTCCTCCTTCATCTATCTCCTTGGCTTCTTCGGTATACCTGTATATGAGGTTCACTCGGAGCACATGGGATGCCATGGGGACGAACATGGTCGCTAAAGGTGTCCAGAATGTCATAGACTTCCTCAACAATGAGTTCCCTGACATGGACGTTATCGGAATCTCAGGCAACTACTGCTCGGACTGTTGGGAATCGGAAACGTGTACGCAGTGGAAAACAAAAATTTTATACGAATTAAACGAATTTAAAACACATAATCACATGCCCGATAATTGTTAACAATTAATTGCGTACCTTTGCGCTTCCAGCGAAATTAAAAACAACATACATGCGAATTATATAATCGACATTAAATCAATTAGCATGCTCGCATTAAATCAATTAATCATGCTCGCAGTAAATAACGAATTTCATGTAATCACATAATATACATAAATTCATACAATATACTTACGGTACGAACATACATATTTAATCTAAATAAAATCGAATCGAATAACTACATATTCGAAACTTTACCTGTTGAAGCGTGAGGTAGGCGCACAAAACGAAGCAAGAATGCCACATAAACCAATCCGTGCAATCCGGGGCAGCGACGGCGTGAGAAATGGCGGCGCGTGTGGTTCAGGCGCTATCTTCGGGCGGCGCGTGCGTCGTTGGCTCGGTGGTTGCTCCTCGATTTTTCGATCCTTCGATCTTCCTCCTCTCAGATTTAACCTCGTATACTTCGATCTACTAAAACGTGGCACTATAGACGAAATAGTTAGAATAAATTGGAAGAAACGAAAAGAGAAAAGAACTACCAATAGGATCGGCCAAGGGGTGGCCGATTCCAGCGAGTTGGCGACGGCGACGGCGGTGGTGGCCACGGGTTGAGGTCAACCGAGAGAGAGATGAGAGAGGCAAGGGTTTCGTATTAGGGTTGTGCATGTGCAAGACCTATGAATCAAGTATTTATAGTGTCTTGCATAAAAGCCCTAACGGGCTTAAGTTGACCGAGCCCAACAACTTAAGTTCGTTAGTTCTTTATTGGCTCGTTTCTCTCAATTCAATGATCAGAAAATTGTAACGATTACATTTTCGGAATCATTATAATGTCCTTGTCATTACGAGTGCCAACTCTTGATTTCCAACTTTCCAAAAGTGGAAACCCTAATTCAGTGCACTTTCTAAATTTGGAAATTTCCCAATTTAGAAAGTTCACTAATATGTTCGCCTATTCTTTTCCTTTTCTTATTCTCAATCATAATTCCAAATTACGAATGTTGGGCCCCATCATATTGACTTCCAATCATGCAAAGATAAAACATTTTTATCTCTGACCGTTTATTCAAAGATCTCATGTGCATGAGCAGTGTGACCCTCGATGGTTCAGGTGTAAGGTAGCCGTGGGCCCACAACCCTTTGTGGTAAAAAATCGTCCCTTAGAGTTACGATTAAGATGAAGCTCATTTCACCTTAATCACCAAACGAATCAAGATTGGCGTCTAGCAACTACGCATCATGATTCCCTAGATACAAATGAAGTGCCTGCAAGAACCTTTTGATATAGTTAGCGTACAGTACGATCCCTTCGATGCATATGTCCCGATTGAACTAGAGGCATTGGTTCATCGAGACCTCCTTAGTAGTTTAATGACTGTGCGATCGTTCTAAGTATAGTAATCGGTACGTGCATGACTTAGATAATCGAATTCTCTAATCATCACTTAGCCAGCTCTAGCCAGAGACTTAGATATTACAAACTATGAGAACACACAGGACATTATAGACAAATCTAGCGATTGAATCCCCGACTACAATGCACAGACCTCCCACTAGATTTCGGACTGCACGAACACTGTCCCTTGGGGCGGTCCTTGGTGGAACTCAGGGACAGGTCACGGTACAGCTGGTCCTCTAGTTAAGTCACGGTGATGTCTAGGTCATAAGGACTAATGGTGTTCAACTATACCATAGATATCTCTACTCGATTATTGAGAACCACTTAGAGATTTCTAAGGTGAGGGAGTTCAGTGAACTCGTCAACTTACGAGCACCCACTTATGCAAACCGATATCACAATACCGTTTACTGATGAGATGCAGTACACATACACTAAGTGCTAGTCTATTAATGGGAAAGGTCGATATCCTCATTAGTGGCGTAACCCTTCGACTAGGAACACGTTTAACAGTTATAATACTTAAGTAAATATCTCACGATCCTAACGATCAATTACTCGTACTTGTAATAACTGTAAGGAGTATATCTATGCTTGTGACAAAGGGACAAAGATATAGAATGCCAAGGTGTTTTATCATTAATACGAAAAAGGTTTGTTTATTACATTAATAAATATGAAAGACCACAGCCACAAGTTGGCTTGTTGGTCACCTACTCTAACAATCTCCCACTTGACCTAAAGCCAACTATCCATGAATCGCAATCCCATCGACTCTCGGTGTTTCTCGTGGACCGGCCTTGGTAAAGGCTTCGTGAAGGGGTCTGCAACGTTCTCTTCCGAGGTGACTCGTTCTACTTTAACTTCATCTCTATCAATGGTCTATCGGATCACATGATACTTCCTCATAATATTATTCTTGGACTTCTGATGAGATCTCGGCTCCTTAGCTTGCGCCACAGCTCCGGTGTTATCACAGTCCAACGGTACTGGATCCTTAGCATCAGGAATGACACCCAACTCTTGGATGAACTTCCTTATCCAAGTCCCTTCTTTTGCAGCTTCGGACGCTGCAATGTATTCAGCTTCGGTTTTGGAATCGGCCGTCGTGCTTTGCTTGGAACTCTTCCAACACACGGCACCACCATTAAGCGTGAATATCAACCCCGAGTTTGACTTTGAGTCATCCACATCCGATGGAAAACTAGAGTCGGTAAAGCCCTCTAATTCCAACTTGGCACTCCCATAGACAAAAAATATATCCTTAGTCTTTCGTAAGTATTTGAGGATATCTTTCACGGCCTTTCAGTGAGATGGACCGGGGCTAGACTGATATCGGCTTGTGACACTCACATCATACGCAATATCGAGTCTCGTACATAACATGCCATACATTATGCTTCATATGGCAGAAGCATAAGGCGTCTTTTTCATCTCCTCGATTTCACTAGGTGTCCGAGGACACATAGATTTCGAGAGACAAACCCCATGGGACATTGGCAGGAATCCCTTCTTGGATTCATCCGTGCTAAACCGTTTCATAACGGTGTCTATGTACAGGCTTTGGGACAAGCCAAGCATCTTTCTTGCCCTATCTCTATAGATCCGTATTCCTAATACGTAAGATGCTTCTCCCAAATCCTTCATTGAGAAACGTGTGGACATCCATGCTTTCGTTTGTTGCAACATTCCTACGTCATTCCCAATGAGTAGAATGTCATCAACATAAAACACTAAAAATATCACTGCCCTCCCACTAACCTTCTTGTATACACAAGGTTCCTCCGGGTTCTTCTCAAAATCAAACTCTTTGATAGTTGAGTGGAACCTAATGTTCCAACTACGAGATGCTTGTTTCAATGCAAAAAACTGGATCGCTGGAGTTTGGAAACCTTTTGCCCACTTTCAGAAGATATGAAGCCTTCCGGCTGCGCCATGTAAATTTCTTCCTCAATGTCTCCATTAAGGAAAGCGGTCTTTACATCCATTTACCAAATCTCGTAGTCGTACCACGCAGCTATGGCCAGCAAAATCCTAATGGACTTCAGCATCGCGTCTGGCGAAAAGGGTTCCTCATAGTGAACACCTTGCCTTTGAGTATATTCTTTCGCTACCAATCTAGCTTTATAAGTCGATACCTTTCCATCCACTCCAATTTTCTTCTTATAGATCCACTTGCAGCCTATGGGAACTATTTCCTTAGGTGGATCTACCAAGGTCCATACCTTGTAGGAGTACATGGAGTCCATTTCGGATTTCATGGCAGTTAGCCAGTGTCCCATGTCCGCATCCGATACGGCCTCATTGTATGTTCTCGGATCTCGTCCAAGATCAACACGATCTTCATCATTTTCGAGGAGTAATAACCTATCCGGCATTTTCCGAACTCTTTCGGATCCACGCACTATAGGTTCAGGAGGTATATTAGTGGATTATTTTATTTGTTCGATTACTTGTTCTTGCGCTTGAAATTCACTTTGCGGTTCTTGAACTACTTCAAGTTCTATCATGCTGCCTTTTCTATCGGATAGAAACTCCCTTTCCAAAAAGGTGGCATTTCTCGAAACAAACGTCTTTGCTTATTTGACATAATAGAATTCATATCCCATAGAGTCTTTGGGATACCCCACAAAGTAGCATAAGTCCGATTTACTATCCAACTTATCTCCCACTAATCCATTCACATAAGCGGGACAACCCCCTAGCCTAATATGTTTGAAGTTAGGTTTTCGGGAATGCCAAAGTTCATAAGGTGTGGATTTAACTTCTTTGGTGTTAACTCTATTCAGCAAATACGCGGTAGTGCGAAGTGCATGACCCCACAAGTATGCCAGTAAGTTGGTGAACCCCATCATAGATCGAACCATATCTAATAAGGTTCTATTCCGACGTTCGGAAACTCCGTTAAGTTGAGGAGTTCTAGGTGGAGTCCATTGAGATTGTATTCCATTCTCTTTTAGATATTCACTGAACTCGATGCTCAAGTATTCTCCACCACGATCGGATCGTAGTTTCTTAATACTTCGTCCGAGTTGCTTCTCTACTTCGTGTCTAAAATCTTTGAACTTTTCAAATGTTTCGGACTTGTACTTCATCAAGTACACGTACCCATACCTAGAATAATCGTCAGTAAAGGTAGCGAAGTAGTTGTATCCACCCTTCGCACTAACACTTAGTGGACCACATACGTTTGTATGGATCTAATCCAAAAGATCTTCTGCCCGCTCCATTTTCCCTTTGTAGGGTGACTTGGTCATTTTCCCTTTAAGGAAAGATTCACAAGTTTGTAGTGATTTCACGTCGTCCAAAGTGAACAATCCTTCACTAACAAAATCGTTCATCCTTCTTAAAGAGACATGACCTAATCTAGCGTGCCAAAGTTGTGCGGGGCTTTGATCTATCTCGTTACGTTTTGCTAATATAACATTAATAGGTATTTCACTTGGACTTAGTTCATATAAGTTGTTTAATAGTCATCCCTTGCAAATCAAATTGTCATTCTTTTGTATAATGCAAATCGAATTTCCAACACAAAAGTAAAACCTTCAATATCTAATACATGAATAGAAATAAAGTTTCTAATGAGAGACGGAACAAATGAACAATCGTTCAAAACAATAGGAAAACTAGAATCCAAAACATTTAAGTAAATCGTGCCAATGGCTTCAGCAACAACTCTTACTCAATTCCCCATCCTTAGGTAGGTCTCACCCGGTCTAAACTTTCTACTTCTTGTCATTAGCTGCAAATCCTTACATAAGTGTGAGCCACAGCCCGTATCCAATACCCAATAAGAAGAACTGACAGACAAATTTACGTCAATGAAATATGTACCCTTTTCAGAACGTTTCTTCTTTAGGTAAACCTTGCAGTTGCGGCGCCAATGTCCTTTCTTTCCACAATGATGGCAAGCATCATCAACTTGCTTGCTGATCTTTTTCTTGGGGCCCCCACTACCTTCACCCACTTCGAACTTGCTGTTTGGGAAGGGAACTCTTTCCTTTCTCTTGTTTTGGGAAGAACTCTTCTTTCCAGAAGTAGCAGCAATGAGAACATACTTCTCTTTCTTAATGGTGGACTCGAAACTGACCAACATGTTCATTAACTCATCCAAGGGAGGATCTAGTTTGTTCATGTTGAAGTTCACTATGAACGATTCATAGGAACTAGGAAGAGACAACAAGATCAAATACAACGAGAGCTCGGTAGGGAGGGTGACATCGAGATTCACTAGTTTTTCAAGGAGAGTGATCATTTTGAGACAATGCTCGTGGACCGAAGTCCATTCGCGCAGTCTCGCCGTGATCAACTCCTTTGTAGCAGCGTACCTCGATGCCCTAATATTCTCACTATACATGCTATCGTGATGAGCCTTGATATCGAAAGCATGTAAGTGAAACTCATATTTCCTCGCAAGCGCGGGCTCCATGGCGGCTATAATATAACACCTAGCATGAGTGTCATCTTTCTTCCATGCTTCATAAGTTTCCTTTTCAGCATCAGTCGTTGTGGCAGGTATAGTGGCAGGAAGTCTCTCGTTAAGAACATAGAGATGCCCCTCAACGGTTAGCATAAGTTTAAGACTACGCAAACAATCTAGGTAATCAGGGCCATTGAGTTTATTGTCGAGGATTGACATTATGGGATTCTTATACATGATTATCTGAGTTGTTTAGAGAAGAGGATTATTAGAGATTCGTATTAAATGAATTTTACAATTAAATGTTTGGTCTTAGTTATTTAATTGTTCTCCCACTAATTTTGTCGAGTTCCACTTCACTCTAGTAGACAAACGAGAAAACCGATTTTTCTTTAATGGGCTATAGGTCCAATAGAAATATATAACCCGTAGTTAATCTAGCCCGATTATGTTTGCCCAACAGTAGATCACAATCAATCATATCCATTATATGACCCTAAATTAATTTTCCTCACACTTGATAATGACCTAAGTTAATCTCGCGAATTCAAAATCGTCGTGTGTCAAGTCTAACCTACCAATCAAAGATGCTCATATAACTTAATTATGCCAAACTGATGCAGTCCCTAGTTAATCAAGCCGACCACGTTAATCTAGCATAACCCTTTTCTATGGCTACCTTCATCGTTATGTCAATTGAATTACAACTTACTTTAATTTACCATAGCACTCCCCGCTAACACGGCTTACTGCACTACAGTAAATGGCTACACATAATTCAACCGTTGGGAGAAGGAAAGAAAAATTCAACAAATTGGTTTTTCTTTATAGCTTGAAATAATTCTTAATTAGATTAAGAATGAGGGATTTTATTAAATGTTTTATCTCATCAGAAGGTTCGGGTTGGTCTATGTGATTCCTACATCTATGTTCTCTAAAGGTACATGGAAGCGCATATTGTCCTAAGAGGAACATACGACCTAACTATATAATTAATTACATTAATTAATTATCGGGTTTTCAAAATAATTATAGGACCTCAGCTAGCATAAATCATTCAAATAATGTTGAGGTACTATAAATTAAGTTGAAGTATAATCAATATTATATGTGTGTTCCATTAATTAAAATCAATTTAACAATTTAAATTAATTAATTAATCTAACACATATTTACTAAAATAGATGATTGTTGATTCGATTATCTAATTGGGATTAATTGAAAATAATTTTTCCAAAATTAAAATACATTTGTTTTAAGTTTAATTTTAGAAATCTGAAATAATTTTTTTTTTCCAGTGAACCGGTTCGGCCCCACCGGTCTGACCGGTTCGGACCGAAACGGTCCGGTTCTGACCGGTCCAGTTGACCGAAGTGGGCCGGGTCAGTCGGACCGAGAACCGGTCTGACCGTCCCGAATCCACAGGATTCGGTCAATTGGATCGAACATAACCATCGAACCGGCCGGTTCGATCCGAATTAAATAAAACCGACGTTTTAAAATTAAATTTCATATCCGATTTTCCAATTTTAAACAATTTTAAGCTGGAAAAATTCTAAACAATATTTCAAAAATATTTTAAACTTTCGATAACTCCCAATTACATAATACAACAATTGCTACTTTAATAAATCGAACTTGCATCAAAATTATAGCATATTAAAAACGAAATTAATTGCGCAACGAGCTCTGATACCACTGTTGGGAATCAGACACGTGTACGCAGCGGAAAACAAAAAAATTATGCGAATTAAACGAATTTAAAACACATAATCACATGCCTGATAATTGTAAACAATTAATTGCGTACCTTTGCGCTCCCAGCCAAATTAAAAACAACATACATGCGGATTATATAATCGACATTAAATCAATTAGCATGCTCGCATTAAATCAATTAATCATGCTCGCAGTAAATAACGAATTTCATGTAATCACATAATATACATAAATTCATACAATATACGTACGATACGAACATACATATTTAATCTAAATTTAATCGAATCAAATAACTACGAATTCGAAACTTTACCTCTTGAAGCGTGAGGTAGGCGCACGAAACGAAACAAGATTGCCACAGAAACCAATCCGTGCAATCCGGAGCAGCGACGGCGAAGTGGTGGCGGCAACGGCGTGAGAAACGACAGCGCGTGTGGTTCACGCGCTGTCTTCAGGCGGCGCGTGGAGGCGCGTGCGTCGTTGGCTTGGTGGTTGCTCCTCGATTCTGTGATCCTTCGATCTTCCTCCTCTCGGATTTCACCTCGTATACTTAGATCTACTAAAAGGTGGCACTAGACACGAAATAGTTAGAATAAAACGGAAGAAACGAAAAGAGAAAATAACTACTAATAGGATCGGCCAAGGGGTGGCCGATTCCGTCGAGTTAGCGACGGCGGCAGCAGTGGTGGCCGCGGGTTGAGGTCGGCCGAGAGAGAGAGATGAGAGCGGCTAGGGTTTCGTATTAGGGTTATGTATGTGCAAGACCTATAAATCAAGTATTTATAGTGTCTTGCATAAAAGCCCTAACGGGCTTAAGTTGGACCGGGCCCAACAACTTAAGTTCGTTATTTCCTTATTCGCTCGTTTCTCTCTATTCAATGATCTGAAAATTGTAATGATTACATTTTCGGAATCATTATAATGTCCTCGTCATTACGAGTGCCAACTCTCGATTTCCAACTTTTCGAAAGTGGAAACCCTGATTCAGTGCACTTTCTAAATTTTGAAATTTCCCGATTTAGAAAGTTCACTAAGTTGTTTGCCTATTCTTTTACTTTTCTTATTCTCTACGAATGTTGGGTCCAATCATATTGACTTCCAATCATGCAAAGATAAAATATTTTTCTCTCTGACCGTTTATTCAAAGATCTCATGTGCACGAGCAGTGTGACCCTCGATGGCTCAGGTGTAAGCTAGCCGTGGGCCCACAACCCTTTGTGGTCAAAACTTGTCCCTTAAAGTTATGATTAAGATGAAGCTCGTTTCACCTTAATCACCCAACGAATCAAGATTGGCGTCTAGGAACTACGCATCATGATTCACTAGATACAAATGAAGTGCTTGCAAGAATCTTTTTGTATAGTTAGCGTACATTACGACCCCTTCGATTCATATGCCCCGATTGAACTAGAGGCAGTGGTTCATCGAGACCTCCGTAGTAGTTCAATGATTGTGCGATCGTTCTAAGTGTGGTAATCGGTACGTGCATGACTTAGAGAATCAAATTCTCTAATCATCACTTAGTCATCTCTGGCTAGAGACTTAGAGATTACAAACTATGAGAACACACAGGACATCAAAGACTATTCTAGCGATCAAATCCCCGACTATAATGCATAGACCTCTCACTAGATTTCGGACTGCACGAACACTAGCCCTTGGGGCGGTCCTCGGTGGAACTCAGGGACAGGTCACGATACAGTTGGTCCTCTAATGAAGTCATGGTGATGTCCAGGTCATAAGGACTAATGATGTACAACTATGCCATAGATATCTCTACTCGATTATTGAGAACCACTTAGATATTTCTAGGGTAAGTGAGTTCAGTGAACTCGTCAACTTACGAGCACCCACTTATGCATGCCGATATAACAATACCGTGTACTGATGAGATGCAGTACACATAGACTAAGTGCTAGTCTCTTAATGGGAAAGGTCAATATCCTCATTAGTGGCGTAACCCTTCGACTAGGAACACGTTTAACAGTTATAATACGAAAGTAAATATCTCACGATCCTAACAATCAACTACTCGTACTTGTAATAACTGTAAGGACTATATCTATGCTTGTGACAAAGGGACAAAGATATAGAATGCCTAGGTGTTTTATCATTAATACGAAAAAGTTTGTTTATTACATTAATAAATATGAAAGACCACAGCCACAAGTTGGCTTGTTGGCCACCTACTCTAACACGGACAAGAAACCTGCTGCGGTGAACTGGATTGAAGGGATGGGAAAATCGGTTGTGTGCGAGGCCATCATCAAGCAGGAGATTGTGAAGAAGGTGCTCAAGATTGATGTTGCTTCATTGGTAGAGCCGAACATGCTCAAAATCTGACGGGTTCAGCCATGGCAGGAGCTCTGGGTGGTGTGGTGAGGATGGGGAGGCTGATTTGGGTTTTTAGTGGATCGGACGGAGGACGACGCGTGTAGAGAATTTCGCGCACGCTGAAACCTTAATCGACGTATTGATTTTGATTTACTCTTGAATTGTTGGACGAATAAGATGAAATGAGAAAGAAGGTAGAAAGGGCATATAATGTGGAGATGGTGGTGTATAATTAAATTAGTAAAATAATAGAAATTATTGAGGATATTTAAGATATTTATATATAATTATTTTAAGTTATATAAATAAAATGGTGAAATGAGAGGATTTCGTGGTGGAAATAGTAGGTCTCTTAAAAAATGGTAGCGGGAGTTTTCACTAATAGCTCTTATAAAAAATTAAAAATATATAATACATGAATAAAGTATCTCTTACATATCAAAAATTATATCTATAACGACAACACCGTCTCGTTTTTTCTATCATTATATATTTGATTTTAATTTTTTTCTTATAAAGCTTTGAATTTAGTTACTCTTTTGAATAGATTTAAGATAAATGTATTAATTTTGATTTACTCTTGACATTTATCATGATTTTATTAACGTGGATTTCAATTTAAAATTATATGCTTGGTAATTCAATTTAATTTCTAAATAGTTTCGCATAAAACTTATAAATTAATAAAAGAGTAACATGTTTAAATTATGGCGGATTTTGACACGTGAAGGTTAGGTTGTACTATAAACTCGCCATCGACCCGTATATCCTAAACCCGTCAAAAACCCACAAGTTTGGTTCCTTAAAATCAAGAACTGTAGGTTGGCGGGACGATTATGGGTTTTGTGCTAGAACCCGCATGTTTATGATTCGCGCACACCCCTAATCCACATACCTCGAATTCACCATTTGATCGCCTAAAAAAGGCGAACAAATAATCGGTACTCCTTCGCAAATACTCTCCAGCGTCGAATTCCATTCACTATGCGTCCAAAATCCACCAACTGCAAACTGAGACAGAACTTCTTGTTGTGGGGCCCACTTCACAATGCAACTCCTCTCCCTAATTGAATCCGAAGCTGGAGGTCATTTTCTGTTGTGTTCCGGGCGTTCCAGAGAACCATGGTCCCAATAATTCATGTTTAATTTTTCCATTATTAAGTTGAAGAAATAAAAAATATGTATTTAAAGCATGCTTATAATTAAATTAAATTATTATTTTTTAACATGTGGATAAAATATAGGGCAATTCCATTTTCCACCCCTTGTACTTGGGTCAAGATTAATTTACCCCATTTTACTTCCGGTTGCATCGATTTACCCCATGTACTTGTAAAATTGTACCAATGTAGTCATTGGCGTTAGTTTTCATATTTCTAACCTTGGCATTGTTTGGTCAAGCCTGGAAAATTACAAAAATGACCGTGGCTTCTCCACTTTCCATTGTGTTGTCCCTTTGGTTTATAAATGAGCTAATATCACATACCTCCCTGTGTTATTTATAATTGTAGAAAAACCCCCCTTGTGCTAAAAAAATTAGCAAGAAGCCCCCTATGTTGCTGTAGACGCATAAAATTGATTAATTTGTTAATTAAATTAGCCAATTAAATTGTGTCGAAATTAAATTATAATTTATGTTGCAAAATAAGTTATAGAGATAATTATCAATTAATTATTGGCCAATAGGATTATTTCTTCTCTTCAAAGTTATAAGAGATAAATATCAATTTAAAAAGAGTCAATCAAATCGCGCCACATCATCAAGAAGACTTTATGTAGGACTCTTATTCTACCACTATAAATAGGGACCCTCCCTACACAATTCAAAACACAACTCAAGAAGAAGAAAAACCGTAGGAGAAAATTCCCTCTACAATATTCAAGTCGTTCTTCATCAAATTCAAGTCGTTCTTCATCAAATTCAAGTTGTTCTTCATCAAATCGAGGGCGTTCTTCAACAAATCAATATCGAAGGAAGATTGAAGGGCCAAATCCATCAAGAATTCCAAGATCTTCAAGTCAAAGTCCGTCAAAGTTCAACAAATCAAGATCGAAGGAAGATTGAAGGGCCAAATCCATCAAGAACTCCAAGATCTTCAAGTCAAAACCCGTCAAAGTTCAGCGTTCGATCCGAGATTCAAGTCGCAAGACCCTCGGAAGACGTTATTCAAATCCAAATCAAATCCGGAGAAGATCAAGTCAACGACCCGTCTCCGAAATTCAAAGTCAAACACATATTGTTCTTGAGAGAAGAATCAGAGGATTAAATTAGAGTTTGTAACCCGCAATATTTATTTTTAATTCAATAAATTATCTTTGTGCAAGTATTTTCTTGTTTGTCTAAATCGCACATAAGAATTTGTTGTTACAAATTTTGGCACGCCCGGTGGGACATCTCTACCTCTCATCTCTTCTCTCTCTCTCGAAGATCCTCGAAGTGTTGCAGTAACTGCTCTACGTTCGCAATGAAGACTGCTACTTCTGATTCATTAAGTGTGGGCTTAGTTACAATGAGTATGGCTAAGAAGCTGCAAGCATCCTCAGAGACTAGCTTGGCGCCCCAAACCATTAAGAAAGGCTTACCACCTCTTGTCAATACAAGCGCAGACGTGGAAGGTTCAAAACAAGAGATTTCACAGCCCACGCCTCGTTCAACATCAAGCTACTCAGAGGTGGCATCCGTCATGACAACAAACACTACAACCATGGAAGAGCAAATTGCAAGTTTAACAAAGGCCATTGAGGGACTCGCAAAGCATGTTCAACAACGAGATTCTCAAATTGCCAAGTTGATCAACAAGATGGACAAAGCCGATGCTAGTAAAGCTGTGGAGAATCAGATAGAGGCTCAAGAAAAAGTCGAGAAATCCACAAACAACAGCCAGTTGAAAACGAGAAGGCTCCAGCTCAAGAACTTCAAGTTTCTCCAGAAGGGATGATTCATGTAGATCAAGTGATGACGCTGATCAGTGGAACCATCAAAGACAAGTTGCAAGGAAGCTCGAAGTCTCCATCAACCTATGTCAAGCCATACACGCAAAGGATTGATGATCTAAGGATGCCAATGGGCTATATACCTCCAAAGTTTCAACAATTTGACGGCAAAGGCAACCCCAAGCAACATGTGGCACACTTCGTCGAGACTTGAAATGATGCCGGGACGTACGGAGATCACCTCGTCAAGCAATTCGTCTGATCGCTCAAAGACAATGCATTTGATTGGTACATTAATTTGGGGGCAAACTCCATTGATAGTTGGAAGCACTTAGATGAAGAATTTCTCAACCGCTTTTACAGCACTCGAAGAACAGTCAGCATGATTGAGCTCACAAATTCCCGTCAATGGAAGAAGGAACCTGTCATAGACTACATCAACCGTTGGAGAAATTTGAGTCTTAATTGTAAGGATCGACTGTCTGAGACATCAGCTATTGAACTGTGCATCCAAGGAATGCAATGGGGACTTCGATATATCCTTCAAGGAATTCAACCTAGAAGTTTTGAAGAGTTGGCCACTCGAGCACATAATATGGAATTGAGCATAATTGCAAATGGAGTTAAAGAACCTTCAATCCAAAAGTCACACCACCTCAATAAAGAACAAGTCGAAGAAGAACAAGAAGATCATGAGGATGGGGGCAAGTCTTTTGAAGAAGCAACATCCTATGCAACGTGACAAGTAAAATCAAATGAAGCACTCCTTGACACGAGTTTAAAAGGTCTACATGTCCAAATCAAATGAAATACTCATTGACACGAGTTTAAAAGGTCTACATGTCCAAATAAAACGAAGCACTCCTTGACATGAGTTTAAAAGGTCTACATGTCCAAATTAAATGAAACACTCCTTGACACGAGTTTAAAAGGTCTACATGTCCAAATCAAATGAAATACTCCTTGACACGAGTTTAAAAGGTCTACATGTCCAAATCAAATGAAATACTCCTTGACACGAGTTTAAAAGGTCTACATGTCCAAATCAAATGAAATACTCCTTGACACGAGTTTAAAATGTCTACAAGTTCAAATCAAATCAAAGCTCCTTGATACGAGCATAAACTATCCAAATCAAATCAAGGCTCCTTGATACGAGCATAAACTATCTACATATCCAAGTCAAATCAAGGCTCCTCGATACTAGCATAAACTATCTATATATCCGTATCAAGTCAAGGCTCCTTGATACGAGCATAAACTATCTATATATCCAAATCAAGTCAATGCTCCTTCAGCACGAGCTTAAAATGCAAATGTTTCTCCTTGTCCACATGAGTATAAACTGTGCGCGACATCCCTCGAAAGGATATATTTTGAACTACGTTATGACTTGATCCCTTTAAAGGGTACGTAGGCAACTTAGAATCTCTCTAAGTGCAGTCATGATTTCAAAAGATATATGTGTTTTGCTAGATCAAGCTGCAATTGAAGTTGAGCAATTATCAAGACTCATTCACTCCAAGATGCATTGTCCGTGAACAAGTCCCGAGGGGGCATTTGTAGACGCATAAAATTAATTAATTTGTTAATTAAATTAGCCAATTAAATTGTGCCTAAATTAAATTATAATTTATCTTGCAAAATAAGTTATATAGATAATTATCAATTAATTATTGGCCAATAGGATTATTTCTTCTCTTCCAAGTTATAAGAGATAAATATCAATTTAAAGAGAGCCAATCAAATCGCGCCACATCATCAAGAAGACTTTATGTAGGACTCTTATTCTACCACTATAAATAGGGACCCTCCCTACACAATTCAAAACACAACTCAAGAAGAAGAAAACCCGTAGGAGAAAATTCCCTCTACAATATTCAAGTCGTTCTTCATCAAATTCAAGTCGTTCTTCATCAAATCGAGGGCGTTCTTCAACAAATCAAGATCGAAGGAAGATTGAAGGGCCAAATCCATCAAGAATTCCAAGATCTTCAAGTCAAAGTCCGTCAAAGTTCAACAAATCAAGATCGAAGGAAGATTGAAGGGCCAAATCCATCAACAACTCCAAGATC